GCATCACCACGTTCGCCTTATTGCTTTTGTTGCTGCTCGACGGTAGCCGCATTCCTCACTACAGAGTGTAGCAACGTTTTGTTTGCAGACTTGGACCTCTCTAATCCGGAGTTTTTGTAGTGTAAAAAAAAATCAGGAATTTGCAGCGATGCATTTGATAAGAATGATTACCGTTCGCCACTAGTTGCGTTCTCAAGTCAAAGGGAAACAGCCATCAGAAAAAGAGCGCAAGGAATTCCACGGCTGGTTTTTTGGCACGAAGAGATTCTGATCGCAACCTTCGATCGTTCAGAATGCCACATTAAAAGCGGAAATTATACGAAATGATCTAGTGGCGAGAGCGAGCTGGAGGTCGGGGAGAGGGTCCTCCTATCCAAATTTTCTCCACACATGGTTCATTCTGCTGCAGAAAGCGCATGTAATGCTATCGTCTGAGCGCTGGAAATTGCTCAAGATGAGGCCTTTTTCCTTCCATTGCGAGATTTCATTCTGGTCGTCATCCTACAACTCCGTCTGGTCGTCATCCTACAAGCCCGTTCCCTTAGGAATGTGGGGCTGAATGGATGAAGGAATGAATTACTCCCTAGTACAAGAGATTCGCTACTGCGGAAAACGGGGCATCATTGGAAATCAAGTAGTACTGCGAGTTTTTGCCTACATTCTTTATCGCGAACTTTAGCGGTCCCCCTGGTCGTAGCACCAAACGTTCGCCTATTGCTTTTGTTGCTGCTCGACGGTAGCCGCATTCCTCACTACAGAGTGTAGCAACGTTTTGTTTGCAGACTTGGACCTCTCTAATCCGGAGTTTTTGTAGAATAAAAAAATCAGGAATTTGCAGCGATGCATTTGATAAGAATGATTACCGTTCGCCACTAGTTGCATTCTCAAATCAAAGGGAAACAGCCATCAGAAAAAGAGCGCAAGGAATTCTACGGCTGGTTTTTTGGCACGAAGAGATTCTGATCGCAACCTTTGATCGTTCAGAATGCCACATTAAAAGCGGAAATAACTACGAAAGGCAACCCATAAGAAATCAAGGGAGGTGATCAGGGATACCGATAAAGAAAAAACAAGAAAAAATGTCTAGAATCCGAGAAATGGGACTCGTTCTTCGCCCGTTGATTTCCGTGAGTCTCATGGGCGCTGCCTTATCGGCGTTGAAGCTCTCTCTCTCGCTCTCTCTGCTAAACGGCTAGAGTCAGATGGCGAGAGCGTGGACGTGCCGCGGCGCGAGCGGCGGCAGTATGGCCGTGCTAAGCGGCTGAGAATATAATCTTCGCTGCGAAACGCGCGTCGTTCCGTACCCTCATTAGAGGTGCAGTTCTCCTCCTCAGGTCAGGCCAGCCAAAAGAGAAACTACTCATTTGTTCGAAGCAAGCTTAGGACTAAGCTCACGCCCAAACATAGGCTTAAGCATAAGCCTGTGTAAGCTTAAGCCTAGACAAGCTCGAACCTTTAGACTATAATGATCGCCGCCAAGCTCTGCGTGACTGCACACCAGGGGCCGTATGCTATCCTCCCCGAAGGGGTTGGGGGACGAAAAGTCCTTTAAATTTTCTCTGTCTTCCCATCTGGGATTGCCCTGATAAAGGACCTACATTTAATGTATGTATGTAGGTAAAAGTAAACATGCACTGAAAATGAAGAAACTATATCGTTCAAAACAAATAAATTTAAAGGAAACTTTGGATCACTCAGCTTCGGGGAAGCATAGCATACGGACCCAGGAGGAGAACTGAACGTCTACCTCATTTTAGGTCCGCCTGCCTTTTCACAAAATATAATTCCCTGTCTCCAGTCTCCGACTTTATCGAGGAACCTCCCTTTCAAAGCTATACGCAAGTTTGCGTATGAGATCATTTTGCTGCTGCAGTCTTACCAGGAAGGTCTTTCAGGGCGTGACGAGCTTTTTGAAAACGGTCTTTTGCATGATATAGGGGCAGATGCGGGGACCACAGAACCATGTTTAATTTTTCCTGAACGGCCCTCTGAATACCAGAAAAGGAGGTCCCTAGTTCGATTCCTCGTGGTAACAAATTTTTGCATTTCGAGTTGACGTGCCAAAATTCGCGCAAAATGGAGTTAGAACCAACCAGAACAATCAGAACTCCATTTTGCGCGAATTTTGGAACGTCAACTCGAAATGCAAAAATTTGTCACCAAGAGGAATCGAACTAGGGACCCCTTTTCTGGTATTCAGAGGGCCGTTCAGGAAAAATTAAACATGGTTCTGTGGTTCCCGCATCTGCCCCTATATCATGCAAAAGACCGTTTTCAAAAAGCTCGTCACGCCCTGAAAGACCTTCCTGGTAAGGGAGACCATTGGCGTGAAGCAAACCACGCGTTCCTGATACCAAGACACGCAGCTTCCGGTGGCGAATTAGCTACTCAGAACGCTGCACGTTGGAGAAAATTGCGCTGGGAGCGACTAAAGTGGCTGCAATTTCACGCATGGATATTCAGTTTTAGGGATGCAGTGAAATCAAAAATACACAAATAAAAAAATGGTAGTACTTGTAAATAGAAGCAAAAACACAATTTTCACATCCAACCTTTTGATATTGAAATGTTGCTCGAAAATTTCAATATAACGGTGAAATGCTGAACAAGTAATGTAACTTTATAGCCACCGCCGAAGCTTCCAACTGTTGATGAGGTAAGGAAAGCGATTCCCCCACACTGCTTTGAGAAGAATCTCGTGAAATCCATCAGCTACCTTGTCTGGGTGAGTTAGACGGAATGTTACTTCGCACATGTCGTTGTAATAGCTAATGAATATCATTATAATAGCTAAATTTACTTATTCAGGATTTGCTGCTCATCGCAGGATTGTATTTAATTCTACCTTACGTGGAACGATACCTTGGAACGTTTGGATATCTAGCATGGTGAGTGATGTTGTTGACTGCAAAAGGGTTCGTCTAGATGGAAAACCCCGATCCCACAGGAATTCCGTCTGCTACAGAGAGTTAAAAATAAAGCAGAGATATGAAAATTTTGTTGCTTACACACCCAATGTGTCTGCAACAGTATAGCTCCACTCCACACAACCCCCGCCCCCACCGCGCAAGCTCCGCCCACTCCCGAATTACACTTTTCTATTGCTTAATGAAGTTATATGACGACACATACGCACATAATATATAAATTTGATACATTACTACGATATTTCGTGTCGTCATGTCGTCCGTCATTAAAGATCGGGTTTTGAACCTGCTGATCAAGCTTTCTAGCCGCTTGAAATTATTGCGGGTTAGTAAAGATTAGATGCTGCTGGCTGTGACGCGGTTGAAGCGGTGTCGCAGTTGACATTCTGCGACCCACATTAATCATGTAAAGATGGCCTGAAGCCGTTTGAACTCGGTCCTTTGAACCGAGTAAGTGACTTTGGTGGCCGGCAGACTTTCATTTGCTTACCCATTTCCCTAAGTTGGATACCGCTCCCTGCTCCCCACTGAGGCCTTTACTACCTCCTGTCATGGGATCCTGAAGTGTTGCTCATTCTGCTGGGTTGGAAACCGCTGCGTAAAATGTTCCATCCATCTTGTTTGCACATATAGGTAAGGGTAAGTGCTCAAAACGTGGAACAAATGAAAGAAAATTGTCCAATTTTTGAATTCACGTAGGAAAAAGCATCGTCGAGAACTTAGGTTTGACCCTAGAGCGCTAACCAACTAACCAGAAATGAGACCCCATTGTGCCCACGGAGTTTGAGATCTGTCTTGCCAACAGACATCTTTAGCCCCCAAGCAATTTAAGGCTCGTTAGCTGGGTTACAAAAAAGTGTATCAAAAAGTCGTGAGATGTAGCTGACATCATTTCATTCCTTTTTTACATTTAAATTCTCCTCTATTCGTGTAATTTCCTATGTGAAAGTGTTTCGACCAGTCCATGCGGCAAATGCTGAACCTTTTTTCGCTTAGGTGTTGGGCGTTCGGATTTGTTGGTTGTGCACTGTTTGTGGTTGGACATGATTGTGGACATGGCTCGTTTTCGGAGTATGAATGGGTCAATGATTTATGTGGCCACATCGCCCATGCACCCATTTTGGCACCATTCTGGCCATGGCAGAAAAGTCATCGACAACATCATCAGGTAGTTACATTTTATAGCTAGAGTGGCGCTCATAGAGAATAGCGTTCAATTAATAAACAATGCTGTTTTTAGTATACGTCACATCTTGAAAAGGACAAGGGTCATCCATGGGTGACTGAAGAGATCTTCAACGAGAGATCTACATTCGAGAAATACTTCGCGTGTTTCCCATTGTCTGGATGGCTCAGGTAATTTTCAGGTTTTAAGAGCTTCAAGTGTCTGGAAAACGATCTAATAAGTCAGAAAGGAAAGGTCATCCTTGGAAAAGTAAACCCACTGATATTAAGTCTTGAAAGAGGGGGTTTGGAGCATGGTAATTCAGTCGGACTTTCCCCAAGGATCAGGTTCGAGCCTACGAGCGATTGAGCGGCTAATGTGGGGTTGAGAAGTTGTAGCGCATTATTGATATGTATTGAGTTGTTCGACGTGGGCAAGGTCACGCGCAATCAAACTGGGAGGAGTGGGGGGGGGGAGAGATGGGCCTGTGTCTTCATACTCGCAGGTATTATGACCTGTGTGTTTTGCTGATTAATCGTTGCCATGTTTATATATTGCTAAAATCGCACCTAAAATACATCTACGTTTTTGAGTGAAAGAGGAGTGCGTGGCGCATCCCAGAAAGGGATTAATCAACAGCGAATTATACCTTAGATACCTTTTACCTTCTACCTTTCACATGGTTTGTCTTCAAGCATTCCTTTCACAAAGCGGAACCTCTCCATCTTTGAGATTATTGTTCTTTTCCTTCCTGCCTTGCATATCGCTGTGAGGATTTAAGCCCTTTAATAACTCTATACTGGGTCAGAAAAATTCGAGTGATGGCAAGAATGGCACGAAAGAAAGGAGTTCTGCAGAAGAGGAGAGTCCATATAGCTACATCCATGCGGCTGGGTTGCTTGCTATTGATGTAGTCAAGAAGACAGTACACCTTCACGGGTTTCATGCGATCGGTCCCTCAAACAGCAATTTTGTGAGCCATTTCTGACTTTTCCGCATAACATGCATATATGATTGATATATTCGATTATAAATACCAGATTAGTCCCCCGTCAACCGCCGGGACCTTCCTTTCCTGCGCAAGCTTTCTATCCTCCGCTATGGTCCCTTCCTCCTGTGACACCAACACCCTGGAAGTGACGCGTATGCAACACAATGGTGTTTCATACAGTAGAAGGGACACAATCATGATATGACGGTAGATTTTTCGCTTCCCTTCCTCATCCTCCCTTCCTCTCTCCACTGCCCTCCAGCTGCCACTGCAGCACCATGTGGAATGAACGGAAGTGTGCTAAGCAGGGTGTTTATATAGCCCTGAGAGTGTTATCACAACTATCTACAAAACATTGATATCTCAAATCCTGTAAGCTACCCGATTTGTTAGCGGTTTGTTTATCCCATGAGCTTCCTTCTCACTCACTTCATTTTGCGGCGGACACGGACACACATACATACACACATACATACACACACACACACATACAGATACACAAACCGACACACAAAGTTAGCGCTTTATAAAAATAGAAGGATAATAATGGTCATTTTGTGGTGCAATACACGGGAATATGGGCGTGCCATAACGGGGCCAATATAAATAGGTTCCATTGCACTTGCGGCCCCAGGCCCAGTGCTTTATTTAGGCTTCGCACGAATCCAAATTGAAGAGATCCTTTTGTCTCACCATTCAAAACCTAACTCTCATGTCCCATTATCATAATCTTATTAGGCCCATTCTATCCCAAATGGGTGTTTACGGAGCTGACTGAGGGACAGGGATCGGCAGATCCGAGTAAGGAACCAATAAGTCGGCAGCTGTTGTTCGTGTGCAGCTAGGGTTCCGGTTGCGACATGAATCGGTAGGTGATTCAAAAGGGAATGATTAGTGACTATCACTTATTCCTTTGTCCTTTCAATGCCGAGAATGGAAACAAATGACGCCATAGTCGATATTGCTATTTTGTCGTTGTTTTGTAATGGTGACGCGTGCCCAGTTGCCACACGAATAGTTATGCTAATGTTATGCGTTTTTTACTGAATATGCCTTGCATATGGACAACACTTGGTCCAAGGTTTAGGGTCGTGGTGACGCCAAGTGATGCAATCGTTTCAAGTTATTTGGGTCTTTTTTCTGACACCGCAGTCCAATGTCCATCGCAATAAATTATGCTGATAACATTATCCGCGGGCAAGGCGGCTGTTGTCTTTATAATACACGCTTCAAACCGCTCATGCACGGGCTGATAAGAAGTCACGCAGAGTGAAAGTTTTAGAGATTCCTTCAATCGAAATCGATGTTACTTGAACTTTCAGAAGAAACGGTAGAAAAGAAGTCTTCCGATTTCCCTCGATGAACTGAACAAAATTGGGCGCTATCGGCAGATAAGGGGGTTTTTTATTGGCAATGTGTTAGACATCACGTGAAACATCTCCTTTCTGTTAGAAAGGCAGTAAGCCTTAGGTAGGGGAGGAGAGACTCTAGGGTATGTGAGAAATTACTTTTTTTCACCGAAGCTCTTGCCCCCTCCCCTTCAGAGGCTTAGCCCTAGAGAATGCCCTGTATGTTGCGATAGCGCTGAAAATTAATTCGTAGAAATTTGGGATTATATGGGCTAGAGGGCTGGTGAAGGAATTGAGCGCTTGGCATTGTTCAATCCTATGGTTGCGCCACGCGTTTGACCTCAATTCAGAACCGTGTTCTCGTTTGAACGTATGTTTTGTGTGGTGATGGATTGCAAAGCGGCCAGTTCGCACTTCACCACTACCATCTTCAGCACACGACCTTGCCCTTCCTCGCTTTTGCTGTTTTCTGGACTCTTTGCAGTAAAGTTAATTGTGTATGAGCTGTAAACGGATTTATAGTCATAGTTATCAAAATAAGCAAAATACGTACAACCTTATAGGCTACTTTTACCTGGCAGCAACCATATGAACAGTACGGGTGAAACGTTCAACGGAAAACGGCGGTCAGCCGAGTTCAGGATTCCACCGACTCAGAAGCCCCAGCATTGGTGTTTCGGGTAGGAATTCAATGCCCTTTACCATGTCTGGTACCAGCTCGCTCTCCGTCCTCAGGTCAGTCCATGGTTAAGTAATGTGAAAAGTTAACGCATGCTCACGCTAACATGCTGTTAAACCATTGCATGGCAGTATTATTTCAAGGCGTCGCCCATGTATTTTCTTTTCACTTACAAATTCGTAAACGCAGTGGGGATCTCCAGGGTAACCCACATTCTAAATACTCGTATTAATAGAAATGAGTGTGGCGACTACTAGAAGCCTATACCTGAGAAAATTTGATAAACGCGTAACATGAAGAACTAAATAGTCGCCCAACGTTGCTTATTGAGCATAAACAACTATCGTACCATTTGAATGCCTAGGAATGTTGGGTCACAATGTCAGGTTAAGCAGATTTATCTTGCTCAATCTTAGGGTTGAAGGGTGGTACACATTCAAACTCGGAGTAAATGAAGGGTTAAAGGATGCGGAGCCTCCCTTCATGTCACCCGCCTATCCGTTTCCACAACACTTGTAGGTCTTGCGTACTTGAAATTATTATTTCAATTTACTGTTTCTGAAGGGAACGCTCTCTTTCCTTCGCCAAATGGTACCCAGGAGTAATACAGTAGCGGTCAAAAGTGTTCACCGAAAAAGTTTCTCATGCGCCTATTTCACTACCCTGTAAATAGTAATTTCGTTGAAGTAGTGATATGCTTATGTATTTGTATTTTCGGTAATTCTCCGAGAATTTGAAGGCCCATAATATTCAAAAAGACAATTGCAGTCAATCGTGAAGCTATTTTCGAAAGAAAAAATGGTACTGCGCGAAAAGCCATTTCGGCGTACACTTTTGACCGCTACTATAGTTCCCCGTCTAATCGCCGCTTGACGAAAAATAGCACATCCTCGACCTCAATAGATAGGCTCTTTAAGAATAACTTCGTATAGATATTTATACGAACGTTGAATGATCGCGTACAGGGTGGGGCAAAATTACTGGTGCACCTAAATATAATGGATTTTTTTGAATCTTGTTGTACACTTTCTTGTCTAATTCTTTCATGGTATGTAGCTTGAACACTCTGCTACTAATACGCCCAGCACAGCGCTATGGCGAAACCGTTCTCGACGATTTTTCAAATCCCCAAATTTTGTTCAAATAGCGTTCAAACTCGGTATTTGTTCAAAACCATGGGCGTGTCTTCACTTTAGAGAGGATTACTAATAATTTCACCAAAGGGGTAGCTTCAGGACACTGACCGTGAATGGTCCAGAAACAGTGCACCGAGCAAACCCTCCCAACTCCACCAATTATGACGAATGGTTCTCCAATTCTTCGGAAAGACCGATATATTTCCAAGTATGGGCTATCCTGACTGCCCTATCAATTACCGAAATTTGAACCTTCTCATGACGGCGCTTTTGGAATCCTGGGACAAAATTGATGAAAAATACCTGCGTGCCACATGGCATGCGTATGCCAAATGCTCAGAGAACTGTGTAAAGGCTAGAGGCGATCATTTTGAGAACTGTTAATACGTTTTGAATTGTCATCTTTTCTACAAATAATATTCGTGATTAGAATCGATTTCTGAAAGCTAGTCTCGAAATGCCAGCAAAATATTGGTGCACCAGTAATTTTGCCCCACCCTGTATATACGGCGGGTCTGTATGCCTGAACTAGCAAGAGTGGCATCTTGAACAACCGCTCTCATACTCCAGTTTATCCATCGTATAGGGAGAAATACTCCCTTAGTTAAATGTTCCCCAGCCACAGTCCGTCGTATAATCTGCCGTTTGACGGCAATGGCGCACATGCTGGCTTAGATCGCCTGACAGAGTGCTTAGCGTTTTGTTTGACATTCAAAAGATTATCCGTCGTTGAGAAGCCGGTAGCTTAACACCTGACGCAAACGGCACCGGTCGTGGCGTCCGTTCCGTCGACCGGCCACTGTCCAGTGACTTATCGTTATCTGAAGAACGTGTTTTTGTTTCAGATGGAATCCAATCTACACAGTCATCGGCCTTCCGGATGGCTCTCATTTCTGGCCATGGTCTCGCCTCTTCAATAACAACACTGACCGAATCAAATGCGCCGTTTCTGGGCTGGCGTGCATATTTTGCGCATCAGTACGTCTTTAGTGCTATCCCTTGGGATAAAACCGAAAGAAGAAGTGTTTTTAGGTGGTCTTCTGGATGTGTGACTATTCCATTTACAACTGGTTAAAGTACTACTACATACCGCTAATGTTCCAAGGGCTGATCCTGGTCATCATCACCTATTTGCAACATCAAAATGCGGAATCGAGTTGAGAGTGACCGCAGGCATCTAGCTCGCTATGCACATGATGTGAAGTGGTGGCTCGTTTGTTTGTTGTGGGAAAGACTGATGATTGCTAGGAATGTGTGGAGAACGATGCTGCCGACGAGATTCAAGCTCTCGTTGTTTCAGGTCTACGAACCCGACGAGTGGTCATTCGTGCGCGGTCAAACGCAAACCATTGATAGAGTATATGGCTTTGGTCTCGACACCATCATGCATCACATCACTGACGGTGAGGTTTGGGATAATATGATGGCCATTCATATCGGATAAGACTCTCGTGCCAACATGGGTAAAAAGGAGAAATCGTGATCGATCTTTTGAGACGTGCCATGCCTACCTTCCGTCAGTTGTGAACCATTGATTTCATATTTGCCTTGTGTGACAACTAACAGGATCGAGTATTCTGAGCGACTTGAACTGCGAAAATGATTACATCATTATTTAGCATTATTTCTGACAACGCTATAGTCGATTAGCCTTATGGAAGCCGATCCATAGTTTCGAGAAGGCGGTAATTTGACAAATTTCCCTGCAGCATCTTCTTCTATAGGAGAAGTCTCTTTATAGACGCAATGCTGTCAAATCGCAGGACCACTAGAGAAATGCTGTGGCAAAAGATTTTGAATGAGCCGACCAGGTCTAAGACCTAAACGATCTTGAGAGCGGGTGAGGCGAAGACGGTTTGAAAAATCTGCAAAAGATCTTTTATTCTTTTCATTTAAAAGCATCTCAGACAGGAACTTCCACGATTTCTCCGCGCTGTCAAGAACCTGCAGGAACACCTAGTACATATGTGAGAAAGCCCGTGACGATATAAGGTGTTCTTTAGCTGATTCATACAAACAAAACTCCTAATCCTTATGAAGTCCTTCCTAGCTAAGCTCTGCTTAGAAGCCTTACCCCTCTTTGATTCCGTGTGTCGTTTCTAAAATTCGACAGGAAAAATAGCTCCTAGATCAAATCATTGGCTATGGAACAGTTCCTTTCTCCCATCCAAAGACGGGTAATGCAATTAATCATACTACTTTCGGCAGGGCCTATTTGCCCTCCCACATCTGAGGCATGATTCTATGGCCAGTAGCTGCAAGAGGATAAAAGTAGTATCACATGCATGGCTACGTAAAACGTAGGAACAAAAGCTGAAAAAATTAATTAGTAATCTCCACAAATTGTATGCGAAACTTGTATTGTATGTGTCAAAATTGTATGTGCAACATGCGTGTTTAAAGTTGCTGGTCAAGTCATGTTCGCGGCGCATCCGCAAAGAATTAGTAATCGTCAAGATTGTGCGATTTACTATTAACATTCGTGTCAAGATTTGTCGATTTACTACTTACAAGCGCTGACCACAGTTCGAAATGCATTTCTTAGTAAGCACTGAAGTAGAGATAAAAAATGTATGTGAAAATCTGAAAATAAATGAATAAATAAATGAAAGTAATGAATATATGATTATATAAGTTCGGATATGACAAAGTAGCTTTTGCTGTGTTCGCGCATTTGTTTACATTCATTCCCTGCCACTTTTTCTATTTTCTCTGATTCTCAAATTTAGGTCATGTTGCTCACCACTTCTTCTTCACCAAAATACCTCACTATCATTTAATTGAAGCCACACAGGCCATCAAGAAGGTGAGTTTTTTTTGAAAATTATTTGTCCCATAATTTTCTTTTTTGATCTCTACTCATATTTCATATTTACTCCAATCTTCTTCTATTCATTCGCATTCGCGTCGTCGTCCTCATTCTCTTCCTTATGATCAGTTTCTCTATCTATATCGTCATGCTTTCATCCTTACTAATCTTACAACAAGTCTACGCCTTTTCCATCATTCAAAATCATCTTCGCTTTATATATCAAAACATCTCTATCCTCCTCCTTGTCTTCATACCTGTGATTTTTGATTATTCTTCACACTGATCGTCAACCTTCTCCATTGTTCTTCTTACTGTAATCATAGGATGCAGCATCTCTGCCTAAGCTTGAAAGTTTTCCAGCTTGCTCTTCCACTTCAGTCCTGTTTGCATCACAAGGCTCATTCTCAACCTCAGCGTTGGTCTGATCTTCATTCTCACACTCCAACATTTCTTTATCTTTATCAGTCATATCCATCATTTTTTGTCTTTGACTTCATGTTCATCGCTTTCTTATCTAGGCTCATTTAAAGTGTTCAAATAAGTGAAGAAAATTCTATTGGTTTAGGTTCTGGAACCGCTGAAGGACACTCCGTACGGGTACAAATCGGAGACAAACTACGATTTCTTCTTCCGATATCTCTGGTCAAATATTAAACTCGATTACCTGATCCACAAGAGCAAAGGTGTACTGCAGTATCGAATCGGGGTTGAAAAGCCGTCAACGTCCAAAAAGGCGCTCTGATCAAACGATGTGGCTTATCCCGACGACACCCTCCACACGATCCCCCGGTGCGGCCACCTTTGCAGTTGTTCTTCTTGTTCGGCGATGAGCATGGCTCAGAGCCGAGGCTGTTTACTCAACGCGCCAGCTACTGGCGACTTGTTTCCTTGTGTCCAATTGTTCGTCATCGTTAAGCCACTCGTGTGTGTGTGAGTGGTGTGGTCGATTTCCCCTCTTGTACAATGCTAATTGATAAACTGTTCTTGTCAGATGTTCGATACCCGGCCAGCAACGTGAACAATCGTACCACAAATCATTTCATGCAGAAGAATTGGTTTTGGATGTAGTAGTTGTAAGCTCCAGAAATCTGTGAGAGTTAGGATAGCGCATATTATACGGAGGCAAGCTCAGTCAGCGTTTCAAAGAGTTAGTGGGTATACACTCCCTAGAAGAGACTGAACGCACTTTTCGTTACGCGTTCAGTGCGCTGAAAGTTTACCGTCTGGCCGGTTAATGGTTTTACTTCAGCTTTTCATGCGTTTATTAACTTAAAGCTAATCACAATGGTTCAAGAGGAAAGTGGAGAGGTGGTTTTCCCCGAACAATGTCTAAGTTAAAGAAACTGTCCATAATGTGAAAAAAAGTAAGCCTTTTTGCCATTGGTGTCAAATATGCCGAAGATAAATGCGTTATGGCTTAGAAGTAGCATTCTTATGCCCCTATATCTTTTAAGCTCAGTGAATATCAACCTGGCGCGGATTTGCTGCTGGAATTCTTGCGTTCTGATCTATCTGTTGCAAACAGCAGTCTATTACTATATCGGGCCAACAATTTACCAGTACATCAGCTACGTTGGTAACCATCAAGCAATGCATACCGCCGGTGTTGAGAGGTGTCTCGTGTGCCTTGTTGACACCCTGCGCCTTTATCTTGTAAGTTCTTATTTATAGGATGGATAAGGCCTTGAACTTCTGCGGCTTTCTAGCGCAACGGTCCCAAAAGTAAGGTTTCATGCGGACTGATGTCTTAAAGTTCTGGGATCGCCAGTCATGTGTTTGTGGTTGATATAGAGGTGGAGTGGAAAAATTCGCGACATGATCCTAGGCGTGTGAAATTTAGGTTGATTGAATCAAAAAGTTGCTTCCTTTTGTGTCATAGTTTCTTAGCTGAAACAAAATCTCTTACAATGGATGAGAAGACTTATTCACTCATTCGAGAGAGCCCGTCTCGAAGTACTTGTAGGATGTGCAGAACATTCGACAGCGACGCATAATCTTCGAAGCACTTCCACTTATGGAGTCAGTGCCGAGATAACGGACTCGAAGACGCGGAGCTTGCATATTGAACCGTACTTGAAGAAATGAAGAACTAAAAAAGCCAACGAATTGAGCCATCGCTTAACTACACGAAAACTTGAATGAAGAATTGCCTGTGTCGACAGTAAAGGCTTAGAGGCTTCTATTATACACATGGCCGGTAGAGCCTTTCAGGACAAAAAATGGGCAGTCTATCCTGAGCGGAGCGAGCAAGCAGTACTGGTTGTCAATGCTGAAACTGTTCCATAACCTCAATAGAGAGAAGACTCATGACTCTGTTCCAAGTGCGTTTCATGAAAGGATATTCCTGGGCAACAAAGTGAGATGACGGCCGTGATTGGGAGCAAATGGACAGATGAGGGTGGCTGCGGAACCGGACATCCACGGGAAAAACAATGAAACAATGGTGAAGCAATTTGGATCTTACAATTAGACCAAGCGTTGCGTCGTCAAGTGGTAAATCGGTCAGTATAAAACTACTCTACGATAACGCAAGACCACATGTCGCGAAAATCACGCAACAAGAAATCGAGGAGTTGGGCTGGGACGTTCTACCTCCAGCGCCATATAGCCCAGTCTGGCGCCGTCCGACTATCACTGACGCAGGTCATATAAAACCCAGCAGAATTAGATAGACTAGTGTCAACTCCTCAAAAGGTATGAAGACAGGCAATCACTCTTTGCAAAATTTTTGCTCATGACTAGAGTGCTTTTTGACTTAGTGCTCTGTCCAAATGAATAGTCCAATGTAAAGTATTCTTAACCACGAAAGAGATTAAGTCTTCAGAGTGTCCAAGTGGGCTTCTGCATCAAATTTCTCATCTTGTGGTGCGAAAATCTCCAGGAGGAGGACAACTATTCGCATTTCAACCATTGACGACATTTCAGCTCGACGTGGCACTTTTCGCCACGTGGGGCAATGCGGCTCATTTGGTGGCGCAGCATAGAAACAATTCTTCTGCGCAAGATTTCCGAATTACTAGAGTGGCTTATTGATCAGGAAAACTCTGTAAAACTTTTGGTAACCATAGTTCCTGCAGC